ATAACTGCCCCTGCCTATTGCGTACTCTTCTTTGAAACATACGCCATTATCATTTACTATTGTTATCGATTTAAGATCACTTTCCCACAGTTCTAAAAGCCGTTCAAACTTCTTCGCATGCTTCACAGAGACTTTAGTCCAATCTCTGGGTTTTAAGGCTGCGGTTCTCTCAGTTTTCTCATCTAGTCGCCTCTTAAGCTCCATAGCTTCTTTTTGTTCAGATCTGGTTCTGATGTTCGATAGTTTTCTCTTCAGCGCTGTACGTCGCTTCCTTAAATCGGCTCCGTCACTTCTCCCCTTTACAACTTTGTTCATCTCTCCTCGGGAAAGTTCAAGTAACAGTTGGTCAGATATATCAGAATCTGACGAATTACCTGTAATTGCTACATTACTTGGAACATTTTCTTCGCGTTCTTTCTCCATTATTTTGCTTTGAAATTCGTTTCTGCAAGACAATTACTAAATAAGCATGCAAAAAATTACCAAAACGTAGAAAAAATTATTAAATTTCTGCTGTCATGTCAGCTTATAATTCGCCACAAGATATGGCTTATTCGCAATAAATTGGAAGCCAGTATTTGTTGACATTTTTTGCTGTAATGTCATTACACAGTATTTTACAGGGTCACAAAAACAACATGCAGTTTACTGAAAGTACTTGTCCCTATTCAAAAGAACATGAAACAGGAAATTATTGCAGTAAGATATTTCTAATTGGAATAACTACGTACGTTGCCCAGCAATGCCCTAATGTACAAGATTATGACTGAAATGATCAGGATATTCAGGGGCGCCGAAGCCACGGGGGCAACTGCCCACATTAGACACCTTAAGATTGACGTTTACGGCAAACGTTAAACCGCTAGCGAAGTTTTTGATTTTACAACTCTATTATAATAGCTTTTACACCAGTTTTGAAATATGCTAAACAATTATTAAACTTGTGCTCTTTAGCAATGATTTAAGAAAGCAAATTAACCACTAGTCACGTATTCACCAAAGCAATAAATTAAGATCTGGCGTTTGAAGTTGATGTTTGGCGTATAAATTTCATGCTTGAACCACAGGCGGCCCAATCTCGCAAGGGTCAGTATAGACTTATAGTATAAATGTATATTATACTAGTATAACAAAAAGTTAGTGAATTGCTGCCGTACATGTATTCGCATTGCAAACTTGCAAAAAAGTTGGCACCTTGATCAGGGTTCTCCATAGTTGTGAGAGGGACAGGTAAAACAGGTTTTTCAACAGGTATAAGCATCAAGTCGCACCTATACAAACCTCTAGGGGGTCTGGGGTATACCAACGGAAAATTTTGAAATCTGAAATGGCATTTCCTGCATTTTGAGGGAAGATTTAA